GCAGCTGAAGGTGAAGGGCAAGACACTGGCATGAATCTCGTCTCCAGGGAAGACACAGAAAAGACCTCCTGGAGGGTGTGGCCTTGAAGCGGGTCTTGATGTCCAAAGAGAATTTGAAGAGAGATTGGGAAGATGGGGTGGGACATCTCAGGTGGAAAATCGAAAAAGAAATTCAGTTAGGCTAGAACACAAGACATGGACGAGAAGAGCCGTTAGGAGGGAGGTTGAGGCCAGGTCAGGAGGCCAGGGCATGCTGTGTAAGGAGGTGGGATTTCACTCTGTGGGCAAAGGGTTCTGCTCCAGGAAGATCACTCGGGCAGCTCAGTGCAAGGTGTGTTGGGAGGAGACACAAGAGATGGGACATCTGGTTGATCTTCTCAAGTCCAGCGCCAACGCTAGCTCAGCGAGCGGACACCAGAACACTAGCTGGAGGCCACTGCAGTGGCCCGGGTGGAGACCGAGACCAGGGCTGACTCAGGGCATGGGCCATGCAGTGCAAATGTGCAACATGTGGGCAGCAGAAAGAAGGCAAGTGTGGGACTTCCCCGGCGGCGCAGCGGCTAAGACTCCGCGCTCCCAACGCAGGGGGCCTGGGTTCGATCCCTGGTCAGGGAACTAGATCCCACATGCGTGCCGCAACTAGGAGTTCGCATGCTGCAACTAAGGAGGCTGCCTGCCACAACTACGGAGCCCACGTGCCCCAACTAAGGAGCCCTGGAGCCGCAACTAAGGAGGAGCCTGCCTGCTGCAACTAAGGAGCCCACATGCTGCAACTAAGGAGCTGGCAAGCCACAACTAAGGAGCCCACCTGCCACAACTAAGACCCAGTGCACCCAAACAAACAAATCAATCAATAAATCTTTAAAAAAAAAAAAAAAAGAAGGCAAGTGTGGGCAGACCGAGGGATAACCACTGTGGGATTACTCGGGTTAAAGGGCCACGCTGGCTGTAACTCTGTGTGACTCATGGGAGATGTAGGTCATCAGGACTGCTGCATGTTCACAAGGTGACTCTGCTTACGGAGGGCAAACGACACAGGCACCGAGGTCCTTCAGGGAGCCACTGGAGGGGACAGTTCAGCATCAGGGCTGGCAGATGGCAGGGAGAAGCAGAGCAGGGGGCGACGAGCAGGTCTGGCACCACGATGGGGTAAAGCGTGGCCATAACAATAGACCCTGTGGGCTGCAGTTGGAGTCCTTGTCACAAACACCTTGCTAAGGTTAGCTCCTGGGAAGGGGGACTGGGAAGGGATGAGTCATGAGGGTGCCGTGCACGTCAAAGGTGGCTGTGAAAGAGAAGAGCTCGACAAAGGGAACTGTGGGGCTGAAAGGGAAGTCGGAGGGGGAAGGGGTGCAGGGAAGATGCTCTGTGTGTAGATACAATCTCCGCCCCTTCTCATCAGTGGCGACCTTCCAGGTAAGAGTGGCAGCCACCAGAGGCTCAGGGCCAGGGGCTGTCCAGCCCTGAGTGTAAGGAATTGGGATTTTACTCCAAGTACAATGGGAAGACCACTGAAGAGTGGAAGCAAGGCGACTTGATCGCTGTAACTTTGTGAAGACTAGATTACAGGTCGGCAAGAGTGGGCACAGGGCAACCAGTGAAAAACCCACCGCAGTTCTCTGGGGGATATGGTGGTGCCTTGGATTCACGAGGCAGCAACACCTATGGAGAAAAGAGGGTCTGCAGGAGAACCAGATGTGAGGACAAGAATCAAGGACGATTCCTAGAGTCTTGGCTGGGTGCGTAGGTGTGCGCTTGCACCACTCACTGAGACGGAAGGCCAAAAACATCAACAGTTCTGAGCGTCTCTGCTGAGTCTGAGATGCCTACCAGACGCCCAAGTCAAGATACCAAATAAGCGCCTCTAGGGGGAAATGGGAGTAATCAGTGCCCAGGGTGCATGAAAGCCAAGGGTCTATGAGCTCCTCTAGGGAGAGCATTGGGAAGAAGAAACAGAGACCCAGGACAGTCATGGGAGCGTCCAGAGGAGAAGTAACCGAGAGCTGGAAAGAAAGGCAAGGCATGATAGGGAAGCGAAAGCAAGAAAGTCTCAAGACAGGGTGACCAGCTGTCTGTGTTGAATGTTGTGCGGACATCCAGGGAGAGGAAGAGAGAAGTGACCTTGGGTCTGGCCGCACGGGGGCCATAAGACACTCTGACGAAGCGCTGAGGGAGGAACCCGGCCCGGAGTGTGCTGAGGAGGCAAGGAGAAGCGAGAAAGCAGAGACGAGGGAGCAGAGTCCTTCCCAAAGGACAGCAGAGAAGCAGGGCAGTGGCTGGAGCACAGGACGCTCAGGGGAGCGTTTCTGGGGGATGCACGAGCTTGAACGCTCGCCCACTACAGAGTGGGAGAAAACGGCATGTGGGAGTGACAGGGCACGAAACAGCCATCTCGGAGAGTCAGAAAACAAGTAATTAGGAAGTGGCCTCGGTCCTGCAGGGCTGATGCCCACCTTGAGGTCTGTGTAACCAGAGGATGCAGCTGTGAGGTTTCCTCCAGCCACTTGTTCCGGTGTGGCCATGAGTGGCTGAGGTCACCCAGGGTCAGAAGTTACTTATTCAGGCAAAGACAGGAGCATTATTCACAAAAGCCAAGACATGGAAACAACTGAAGTTTCCACTGATGGATGAATAGATACAGGAAATGTGTACACACACACACACACACATATGTATATATATGCAATGGAATGTTACAGTAAGTCCCCTACATACAAACCTTCAAGTTGCAAACTTCAAAGATGCGAATGTGCGTTCCATCAGTGTCAGGTGTGAAGTGAAATTGCCGCCTGCCCTCCATCTCCTGTTGCTGAGGACCTTTCAGCTCTACCATTGCCCACCTCCTCTCCCTCCTCCAGTCAGTAACTCTTCTTGCCTGTTCACTCGATGCCAGCCCCTGGATGCCAGCTGTTGTGCTGTACTACTGTGCTTTTCAAGGTACTGTACAGTAAAATTTTAAATGTTTTCTTTATTTTTTGTGTTTTTTTAATGTATTATTTGTGTGAAAAGTATTGTAAACCTATTACAGTACAGTACTATATAGCCAGTTGTGTTAGTTGGGTACCGAGGCTAACTCTGTTGGACTTACGAACAAACTGGACTTACAAACGGGCTCTCGGAAGGAACTCGTTCGTATGTAGGGGACTTACTGTATTCAGTCATAAAAAAGGAGGAAATCCTGCCATTTGGGATAACATGGATGGACCTGGAGGCTATCACGCTTAGTGAAATAAATCAGACAGAAAAAGACAAATCCTGTATGATGTCACCTATAAGTGGAATCTTAAAAACAAACAAACAAACAACCTATATGTGGAATCTTAAAAACAAACAAACAAACTCACAGAAACAGAACAGATTGGTGGTCACCAGAGGCAGGAGGTGACGAGAGCAGATAACGGTGGTCAAAGGGCACAAACTTCCAGTTATAAAATGAATAAGTCCTGGGGATGTAACGTACAGCATGGTGACTACAGTTAACAATTCTGTAGTGTATATCTGACAGCTGCTAAGGGAGTAGATCTTAAAAGTTCTCACCACAAGAAAAAACTCTGTGTGGTGAAGGACGTTAAGTAGACTTACAGCTGTGATCATTGTGTAATATATACACATCTCAAGTCATTAAAGGTATATGTCAATTATATCTCAGTAAGACGGGAGGAGAAAAAGTATCTTTCACTTTCTTCCACTGTCTTTCAGTTGTGAAACGACAATAGCGAAGCTAACTAAAGAGAGATTGGAGGTACCAAGGCCAGTAGGCCCCAGTGTGGTTCTAACATGAAAGGGTGCTGAGGATTCGGGCCTAGCTCTGCTCTCTTAGGAAGAGAAAAAAAAGATGCTATCTTAGGGCTCTCACTACGCAGATGACATGAAAATCTGTGTCTCTGTTCCTCTTTTCTCTCCCAACTCGAGTCACACACGCTCCCAGACGTTTCTACTTATTTCTCTTTACATATGTCTTCTAAGAACAGCACGTGAACCTCCCTGTACGTTCCCACAGCTACTCGATAAAAAAAGGAATAAATCAGGTCACCTTGTTTGCAAATGGCACCTGGATCTGGTCAGGTAGAGAATGACTGGTATAAAAATGGTATTAAAAGAAAGGAATACTGGGGCCTCCCTGGTGGCGCAGTGGTTGAGAGTCCGCCTGCCGATGTAGGGGACACAGGTTCATGCCCCGGTCTGGGAAGATCCCACATAGGCCGCAGCGGTGAGAGGCCCGCGTACAGCAAAAAAAAAAAAAAAAAAAACGAGGGACAAGGGAGAGAGAAAGGCCACACTCGAACACCGAGGAACCTTTTTGTTTTTTCTCTTTTTTTTTTGGTAAGGGAAGAGTTTTTTTTAATTGTAAGAAACACAAAACATTAAATTTACCATCTTAACCAGTTTTAAGTGTACAGTGCACTAGTGTGAAGTGTATTGACATTGTTGTGCAGCAGATCTCTAGAACCATTTTGTCTTGCAAAACTGAAACTCTAGGGAATTCCCTGGGAGTCCAGTGGTTAGGACTCCATGCTTCCACTGCAGGGGGCAACTAAGGGGGATTCCCTGTTCAGGTAACTTAAGACCCCGCAAGCCATGCGGCGTGGCCAAAGAAAAAAAACCAAAAAACCTGAAACTCTATACTCTCAAATGCTTATGAACCTTTTCAGAGAGACCCCGCCCAATGGTCAGTGAGGCGCAGACAGGGTCCGGACTCTGACCCCAGGATGAATATTCTCGCCTTCGGAGAAGAGAGAGATGTGGTGTGAACAGAGGGTGGAGCCCCTTCTTACCTCTCATGCACTTAAAGCCTGGGCCGAGAAGAAAAAAGTCCACAGCCAAGAGACATTTTACCAAAATGCCAATGTGTCGTGCACTCGTAGGGACCACAGGCATGGTTACTTCCAGCTGTGGGCACATTCACGGCCATCACTACCTGACAAAAGAGTCATCCCTCACGAGATTTTCAGAGTTGGCCCCAGAGTTACTTCACTTCTCTTTTTAAATATCGAACATACCTTGGAATCCTGAGACTATTTGGACAACATCTTCATACACCATCAGAGTAGCAGATCGTTCTGGAAGCAGGCCCAGGCTCAGCGAAGAAAACACTGCAGAAACAAGGATGGATATGAGGGAATTCAAACATTTAAATCAAAATGCCCACTCCAGTTTTTTGAGTACTCTGCATTCCTCTCAACTGGTTAAGATGGTAAATTTAACCAATTTCAACTCAATCAACAATATTGATTTTTCGCAGTGTGGCATAATAATAAATACATATTTGGTCTCTGCCTCTGGTTCCTGGCTCTTAAATCCCTTGTAATTTCCTGAGCGATCAGAGTATCTTTTGTTCTGATGAGGAGACTCCGGGTGGGCTCCGGGAGGTGGGCTGCTCACCAAAAAGGTCAAGCCATGCTGAGAACCTTGGAACGTTCAGTCCCACCTGCCATCCTCCAGAGAGGACAGAGGCGGTGGACAGCTAATGACCGATCATGCCTGCCATGACTGATGAAGCTACCATGAAAGTCCCCAAGGTACGGGCTTTGGGGAACTTCAAGCTGGTGAACAAGTATATGTGCTGGGAGGAGGGTACACCCCAACGCCACGGGGACAGAAGCTCCTTTTGGACCCTTCTGGATCTCACCCTATTGTACCTCTTCATGTGGCTGTGTATCTGCATCCTTTATAATATCCTTTGTAATAAACCCGTGAATGTAACTGTTTTCCTGAGTTCTGTGAGCCGTGATAGTAAATGAACCCAGGGAGGGGATCGTGAGAACCTCTGATTTATAGCTGGTTGGTCAGAAGTACAGGTGACAACCCGGGGCTTGTGTCTGAAGTGGCACTTGGTCTTGTGGGACTGAACCCTTAACCTGTGGCTTCTGAGCTAACTCTGGACAGTTACTGTCAGAACTGAATTGAATTGCAGGTCACCCAGTCGGTGTCCAGAGAGTTGGAGAACTGGTTGGCTTGAGAAAAAACCCACCCGTCGGGTGTCAGAAGTACCGTCAACAGAGAGAAAAGAAAGTTTTTCCTTTAAGTATTATTAGCAAAAGGCTTTCAAAACGCCAAGAGTCCTGCAATCTCTCCAAGAACAACTGCTTGCCCTACAATAGTCAACTATGTATTTTTTATTCGTTAGAAGCTGTTAGTAAAGTATCTGAACCTCCTCCCATTAGGAATCTATTAAAAGTTACAATGTACACACTACATGGATGTAAAACACTGGGTATTAACATTAAGAAAGACTTTAAAAATAATGTGCTTAGATTACTGTGTGCCTCATGATTAAAAAAAAAAAAAAAAAAAAAAACTTCCTTCCCTACTCTGGGAGCTAATAAGATGACAGAACTTGTGCTATTTTTAAAAATTCTTGTTTAAGTACATGGACTTCCAACTAAAAAATTCACAAAGCCTACACGTTTCTGGGGAGATCATGAATTTTAAGAAAAAAACAAATCAACATATTATGGAATAACAATAATCACTAACATTACTGAACCCTCACTAACATGTCAGACATTATTCTAGGTGCTTTAATTTTGGTAATTTATTTAACTCTCAAAACAGCTTTATGAAATAGGTATTATTAACATGCCCATTTGACAGGTAAGGAAACAGATTTATAGATAAGGAATTAACTTGTCCAAGACTCCGCAGCTGGTAAATACTGGAGCCAGGATTTGAACTCTGCAGTCTGACCTCGACTGCTATGCTTCACAGACTCAAATTCAAAGGCTTCTTGGACTCCATCCAGCCTAAGTCTCTAAGTTTAAAGAGGAGGAAAGGGAGGCCTAGAGAGGTAAAGTAACTTTCAAGGATAATATTAGGAACCAGAAATATCAAATGCTAAGAATATCAATTACTTGGCAAAATTGGCTCTGGATAATGCTAGGGGCGACCAGTGAGCGGCTGGCCTTGGACCTGACACTTCTCCCTACACATTTATTCCATTTATTTAGCTGCCAATATGTACAAGGCCCAGAGCTAGACGTGCGGAACAGATCAATGTTGGGGGCAGTCTGTGTCCTCAAGGGTTCTACATTAGAAGGAGACTTGGACGCACAACCAACAGCTGTAGGATAAGCAGAACGTAGCAAGTGCCGTGACAAAGATAAGGATGTACCTTGGTGCTGTGAAAACAATCCAGCAGTTCCTTCAAATATTAAACATAGAATCACCATGTGACCCGGCAATTCCACTCCCAGGTACATAACCAGGAGAACTGAGAATATATGTTCATGCAAAAACCTGTACATGAATGTTCAGAGCAGCATCAGTGATACTAGCCAGAAAGTGGAAACAACCCAATAGCCATCATCTGATGGGCAGATAAACGAAACGTGGTCTATCCATACAATGGAATATTGTTCACCCATAAAAAGGAATAAAGTACTGATTCACGCTACAACATGGACAGACCCGGAAAACACCATGCTAAGTGAAAGATGCCAGACACAAAAGGCCAACACACTGGAGGATTCCATTCATCTGTAATATGTGGAACAGGCAAATCCACAGTGACAGAGGGATTAGTTGTTGCTGGGGGCTGGGGGAATGGGAAACAGCGAGTCAATCCTAACGGGCATGAGGGTTTTTTGGGAGGTGAAGAAAATAATTCTGGAAGTAGACGGTGGTGATGGTTGCACAACCTTGTGAATTATACACTTTAAAATGGTGAATCGTATGGTGATATGCATTATATCTCAAAAATAAATAAATAAATCAAGCAAGAAAAAAAAGGAATTCACCTTGGGGGTTTAAAGTTGGAAGAAAAATCTATACCAAGTTGGGGGAGGGGGGATCAGGTCCTGTGTGTGAGCCAGGACTGAAGGGAGGAAGCCTGACTCGGGTAAATCCTGCAAAACCACATCCCAGGGAAACTTAACCATCTTAAACAGAGATCCCTTCACCTAAGGGCACAGGGCACCTAATGGCTAGGAAAGAAGAACCAGATTGCTGGTGCCTGTAGGGAACAGCTCACCTCCAGACTATGGCTTTGCCCTCCCCGCCTCTCTAGGTACAGACCTGGACCACACTGCTCCCTTCAAGAGCTCACACAGAGCCTGAAGGCATTTCCTTGGTCCTGAAAACCTCTGTGTTGTCTGGCTTGGGGGACTCTGAGCTGGAATCCCCTGTGATTGGTCTCTCGAGATGCGTGTGACCATTACAGGATGTTTTGAAACGTTTCTTGCCTATAGCATTTGGTGCTTCCAAACATCAGACATCCACTCCAGCAAACTCTTCTGCAAACCCTATTTCATATACGAGAAAAGATGATTTCTTGTAATGACTATGATGAGACGTGGGTGGTGGAGACACCTGCAAGGGCTTCCTGGGCAGGAGGTGGCAGAGACGCCTCAGACCTGCAGGCAGACGGTATATTACCCATCAGAGAGGAGATGCTGACTGCTGTCTTGTTTTTTGATAAGTAGAGAGAAAGGAACATCTAACTCTACCTGGGAGAGGCTGGAACACTTCTGAGCGCAGAGAACAACCACACTGGGAATTAACGGATAGAAGACAAGCTTGCAGAGAGAACAGTAAAGGAACAACAGTGCAGACAAGCACAGAGCGGGTAAAACGCGATTCCTTCAGAGAATAACAAACTGCCCAGGGTGACCAGACCGTGAGAAACGTAGGGAGAAGCGGCTGGGGAGGAGGTCCCTGGGTTCTGTTTAGTCTAAACTTGATCCTGAGGACATCAGATGCCTTTAGGCAGACATGTAACGTAGTTAGACAGATATATATACAGGCACACCTTGGAGATGTTGCGGGTTCAGTTCCAGACCACCCCAATAAAGCGAATATCGCAGTAAAGGAAGGCACGTCAATGTTCTGGTTTCCCAATGCATACAGACGTCATGTTTCTATTATACTGCAGTCTATTAAGTGTGCAATAGCATCATGTCTATAAAACAACAGATACACCTTAATTTAAAAGTACTTTATTGCTAAAAAGTGCTAACCGTCATCTGAGCCTTCAGTGAGTTGTAACCTTTTTGCAATAGTAACACGAAAACCACAGATCACCATAACAAATATAATAATAATGGAAAAACTTGAAATACTGGGAGAATTACCAAAGTGTGACACAAACACTCGATGAGCAAATGCTCTTGGGAAAATGGTGCCGATGGACTTGCTCAATGTAGAGTTGCCACAAACCTCCAATTTGCAAGAAATACAATATCTGCAAAGTGCAATAAAGTGAAGTGCAATAAGATGAGGTCTGCCTGCATATATAAATACATATATCTAATATATAAATATGTAAAATTATTATATTATAAAAATAATTTAAATATATATTTAAAATGTTCCTACCTGCTGCCAAAGGTAAAGGGTACTCTCCTTTTGCTGTGGTTCCCTGGTGCCCAATATGTAGCCGCTTCCATGCAAGGGGGAAAAAAAAAACCCCACATCCTCCAGGAACTACTGTCAAGGATGAGAAAAGAAATCTATTCCCAAATCTCATAAGAACGCGTATGCAAACAAAGCCATGTGCAGACATGTAGTAAAGAGATTATTTTTTAGTTTCAAATTTTAAAAATATTTTAGAAAAGGCTCCCAATTCTTCTCTCCTCCTCACTCAATTACCTGGAATACCAAAAGTGTACCTTCAAAAATATGCATGAAAACAACAGCATACTCTGTTTTTCACATCAGACCAGTCTAAATTTTGCTCACGTTTTCTGTTAGATTCTAGTTAAGAGGATCTTGTTATGTAGACAGGGCAAAAGCACAGAAAAAGAAAGACATGGGCGGGTCCTTGAAAATTATTCAGTCCTAATTGATTTAGTTTTAGACCCTAGAGATTTGGGCTCAGAAAGCTGTGATGGGCCCCCACATGTGAGCAGAGCTGGCGGCGGGCAGGCCTAGAACCCAGGCATCTTCAAGCCTAGTCCAAAACTCTTTGAATTAAACTACATTTTTTTCCCCATTATTTACTCATTTAAGAAGAATGGATATTATGAAAATGGTTGCCTTTTTCTCAAATGATCACGTTAACAAAGTCAAAACACATGTAATTAAAGTACAGTCCGTCCTTATCTGTCGGTTCAGTATGTGCAAATGTGCCTACTTGCTAAAGGTTATTTGTAACCCC